GCAGGCGATAAAAAAGGAACAAGCGGCTTCAGCCGAGAGTGGTGCCACCATCCCCAAGGCCCTGGGACCCCCTTGCTGCCCCCTGGCCCCGACCCTGCCTGGAGCCCTGAGGTAGTTGGGGGCACCCCCATGCAGAGGAGACCCCCCCACAAAGGAGCGGGGAGGGCCGTGGGGCTCCCCGTGTCCTGAGGGAACGGGATCGTTGGTGTTGCAACCCAGAGGAGAGCAGGTGTGGGTTGGGGTACAGCCCGAGGTCCCCGACAGGCTCGGTGTGCTGGGGGACACAGGGTGGTCCCTGCACAGTGACATTGTGCTCTCTCAGCAGCCCTGAGGCCATGGTGACGGCAGGGGGATGGAGGTGGGTCCCCCTGCTTGGAGAGCACCCAAGGGCTGTCACTGGGGAAAGCACGGGGTGACAGCCCTGCCCCTCCGGGCCAGGCCACCAACTCCGACAGGGAGAAAGGCCAAATCCTGCCCCCTCCAGCGCCCCGAGGGGGCTGGCCCAGCTGTTCCCCCCCGGGCAGCTGTGTGAGGGCAGGGTGCAGGCAGCCACGCTGCCAGGCTGGGAAGGACACTCTGGCCCTGCATGGACACTGGCAAGGCCATGGGGGCAGCTGCAGTGGGACAGGCTGGAGGCCCGGAGCTGGCAGATACTCCCCTGCCCTCCGAGCCCCCTGCTCCAAGGCACAAAGGTTGCCTGGCCAGTGCCAGCCCCATGGCAATGCCAGCACTGGGCCCCCGTGCACCAAAGAGGGTGGCCAGGACACCAGGGTGGCACCGACTCAGAGCAAGCAGGTACAGGAGCTGCTAACCCTGGTTTTGGGGTGCTCTGGTTTTGGGGCACCCCAGCTGCAGCCCAAACCCTCTGTGCTGCTGCTCTAGAGCCAGCCCCTGTCCCCAGGAGCTGGTGGCTTGTGTGATGGTAACAGGGTTGCCCCAACCCACACACAGCACCTCGTGGAGGGTTTATTGCTGGCAGGAACACAGTGATCTGTCGGGGCAGGGCAGCACGGGCCTTTTGGGGAGCTGGGGTGATGGGGCTCCTGGTAGCATCCCTCCCACTGCCCCCCTCCCCCCTTCCTCACTGCCAGCTGCTCCCAGTGCTGCTGCTGGCACCAGGGTCTCACTGGCTAGGTTGTCCTATGGGAACACCCCCCCAAACCCTGCAGTGACCAAAGGCACTTGGTGCCCCCACAGCAGAGGGGAGCACACTTAGCACCAAGCCCAGGAGCACCCCAAAAGCTGGCTCCCAACCCAGCAGCACCTCCGGGGCCCCTGGCAGGCTCCTTTGCAGGGGGTGGATGTTCACGCCAAGCCAGGGACAGAGTTAAGGCTGGAGAAGCAGCGAGAGGCAAAAGAAACCTGCACCGCTCTCGCTCAGCCAGGGCTGGGCTCAAAGAGCTCCAAAAATCTGTGCAAACACAAAACTAAAGGGTTAAGTCCCCCCCGGAGACCACCCTCCCTCCCCCCCCAACCCGAAGCAGCTCTAATAAATACAGGCAGTTTGTGGCTGGCGTCAGGTGGCTCCAGCCCCGGGGTCTGGCCGGTGGCTCAGGGTGCTCTGGAGCTGGAGGCGGCTCTTGGCAGGGAGGATGAGGAGGGCAGGTGCTTGGGGGGGCTTCTGCACCAGCTTTGTGTGAATCTTCTCAGAAGGCTGCACCCAGCTGGGCCCCAGCCCACTGCCAGGTGTTCCCTGCAGGCTGCTTCCACCCCAGGTGTTACTCTGCAGCTGGAATGAGGAGAGAGGATGAGGGAGTGTGGAGCAACACGGTGCCCCCCAGCATCCCCCGGGGGCCCCACCAGGATGGGGGTCAGGGAGGTCTTTAGCCCGCAGCACCCCAGCACCCTGCTCAGGGGCAAGGTGGTTGCTGGAGGCTCTTGCACAGGTCAGGGTTTTGCCCACATGTGCCAGGTATCACTGGGGCTCTGCTTGTGCGAGTCAGAGTGAGACCCTTGCCCTTGCCTGGAGTGCAGTCAGGGCCTCCCCCTCTTTCCCCCTCTGGCCAGAGCAGGACTGAGATCCACTCACCATCCTCCTCCCAGCCTTCTGCCACTCCTGCCAGCTCGTAGTGCTTCTTGCGCAGCTCCCCCAGCTTCTGCCGCTCCTTCTGCAGCTGGTTTTCCAGCTCCAGCACCCGCACCTGAAGGACACCACGCATGCCATGGCCATCCTGCACCCTGCCACAGTACCCAGGAGCCGTGGGGGGCTGGGCACCCCCCTCTCACAGGTGCTATCTCCTTGGTATCAAGCCCAAGGACCACTGAGGTACATCCCGTGAGAGCTGTTGCAGCAAGTGGTCCAGGGGAGGGGACGGAGCTCCAGTGGGTGCTCCCTGTGCAGGCGGTGAAGGCAGAGCAACCCATGTGGGCACCCAGAGACAGGCAATTCCCTGGGGATGCCCTGTGCTGGGTGGAGATGGCTGCTTTGGGGCAGCCCAGGAGGCACAAAGGGGTGAGGAAGTGATGGGCTGTTGTGCCGTGGTGGAGACAGCGTTGGGGAAGGCTTGAGGACCAACTACACATGGCTTCTAGGCTAGCTGCCTTCACACCTCAGGCTTCCCCTGTGAGCTGCTGCTGCCTGGGGTCTGGCAGCTGGGCAGGGTACACCCACCCACATCTCCTTCAGCCCGGGCAGCCTCTCATTAGCCCAAGGGAGGCACTGGTGGGTGCTTCCCAAAAAATGGGGGAACCTCCTACCTGCGAGTCCATCTCCTGGCGCTTGATCTGGGTGAGCGTCATGCTGGAGAAGTCCATGCTGTCTGTGGAGAAAGACACCACCAGCCCCTCTGGAGCTTTGCTCCCCACCTCAGAACCACTGGCAGTTCCCATGCTGCTGGCAGGTCTGCCACCATGGGACATGCAGACGGCAAGGGGCAGCCACAGGCAAGGACCCCTGGGGCACAGACAACCAAAGACGGCTGGGGTGAAGAGCAGATGTTTCAGGGCAGGTCTATACATCTGGAGTCCCACACTCACCTTTCTCCTCCACCTGTGACTTCCCAGCCTTGGTGGAGGCCACCACACCAGCTGTGGCCTGGTTGACACCGCGGGAAGCTTGTTGGAGCTTGCAAAGGTTGGCACTGTCTTTGTCTGCCTTCACCTTTGGGGCAGCAAGGAGGGGTGTACGTATGCCCCACCGGGTGAGCAGAAAACCAGCCCCATGGTTCAGGGTGACCATGCAGTGTCCCTAGGGTCACCCTGAACCATGGCCAGGGGAGCTGGGCTCCTACCTTGGAGGCTGCCACCAGCTGAGCGGTGCTGGCAGCGATCTCCCGGGAACAGACCATCAGCTCCTCAAACGTCCCCTTGCCTTGCACTACCAGGTCAGCAGCATCACTGCGGGATGACAGAGGGGCTGGAGCACTCTCCTGCCACAGCAGTCCACTCACCATGGGGACAGCAGGACCCTCCCATGCTCCCCCCTGCCAGTGAGGGTGGCACTTACACCATGACAGTGGCACCCCAGCCCACGGCCTTGGAGGCGGAGATGAGACCCTCAGTCCAGCGGGAATTCTTGGCGTAAAACTCCTTGGGGGACGCGGCACCCTGCCCTCAGGAAAGGCACAGTCACAGCTCGGGGGCAGGGGCTGCCAGGGCTTGGACCCCTGAGCCTCCCAAACCCCTCTTCCCAGGGCTGGGAATGGAGTAAGTCAGGCTTTCATTTAGGATGTGCCTGGGAACTGGGGGGACAATGAACCTAGGTGGTCACAGTGTCCTTTATATGGGGAGTGACATCAGGGACCTCTGTGACATCCTGGGGACCACAGCCAGAGCTCCCTGGGTCTGAGGCAGGAGCTCCTGGCAGCTGCTGTTGCTGCCCCAACAGGACAAGGCTTGGAGCAGCACGTCTCAAGCAAGTGTGTGATGAACCCTGGCTGGCCAAGCACCTGCCTGCCCCCCTGCCTGCCCCCCTGCCCTGCCTGCGACTCTGTCCCTGGCTCACCCGTCCACTCTCCACAATCTCCCTCTGGAGGTCCTTGGAGGCCATGACCAGGATATGGATGGCTTGCATGAGGCCTGTGCAGGAGCCCAGGATCCTGTGAGACAAACCCCACTGAGCCCCACTTGTGGGGCAGGGAGACCCCAGGGCCATGGGGCAGCTGCTCTGCCCATGGTGCCAGGCCCCATCCTGCCTGCCCAGCTCTCTCCAGCCACCACTCACCTCTCATTCACTTCCAGTTTGACGCCAGTGTCACCAGCTCGTGCCTTGCTAAGCATCTCCTGGCAGAGGGGAGAGGCTGTGCTGAGCGCTGTGCCAGCCCGGCCTCCTGCCGGTGGTCCCAGTGGTCCCAGCACCCGCGGGTGCCTCACAGCACCGGGTGATCCTCACCTCGATGCGAGCAGCCGCTGTCTCGATGGCTGCTGCTGTTGCTGCCATCTCCTTGTCCACCAGGTCACCCAGCTCCTCCTGCTTGACGTCCAGCCCTCTGGGCCGCAGCTCCTGGGGATAGCACAAGATGAAAGGGACTGTCCAGGGTGGCACAGCACGCCCACCATAGCCTAGCCCGCTCCCACTAGCCCTCCTGGGGTACCCACCTCCCCGATGGCGCTGATCCGGCTCAGGCAGGTCATCACTGGGCTGCAGTCGGCACTTTGCACCGTCCCTGGGTCCTGCAGGGCACTGAGGTAGCTCACAGCCTCACTGCCACACTGCCTGCACGTCTCCAGCAGCCCTGGGTGGCCAGCACAGGACTCTGAGGGACAGAGGCCCCTGGCCCCTGCTTGCCCCAGCCCCCTGCCCACACTGGCCCAAGCCTATCCCAGCATCCTGCCCATCCCAACATCCTGCCCATCCCAGAATCCTTCAGGTCCCAACATCCCGCCCCACCCCAACCCTGCCCCGCAGCCCCTGGGGCAGCACTCACGGTCTGCATGTTCCATGGGGGCCTGGTGGGAGGTGGCGCTGCCCTGCAGGAGCGTGTCACTGACCAGGTGGGCAAACAGGGCTAGGCAGGGCAGCACGGAGCCCACGGCTGTGGGCAGAGCGGGCAGACCCCTCAGCCCTGGCACTGCTGAGCACCAGGGCCCGAGCTGCCCCTTCCCCTACCTGAGGCTGCAGATCTCACCTGCACCGCTGGAAAGGGACTTCCCGTGTGCGTCCCGCAGCCGCTCCGCACACTCCAGGGCTGCCAGCGCCTGGGACAGGAGGCAGTCTGTGGGCAGAGAGCAGGCAGGGCTGACACCAGCCTCCCAGTGCGTGGCACAGCTGCTTTCTGCTGCTGGCACAGCCTGGAGGAGGCAGGGGCGGGGGG